CCATTTGTTGTCTATTTGCTGTTTGATGGGGTTAAGGGTAACTGATGCTGATCTCCAGTTGTTCACAGGCTAGTTTGGTTGATGAGAACCAAGACAACAATACTGTACTTGTATAGTGTAATACCGTACATTTTGGAACGACATGTTTGATGCCTTCTGCCGTTGTCACTCATGTGAGTCTTGGTTCATTGTGACTAATTACATTAGTCTACTGACTTTTTGTCTCTCATCATACATCATGTGAGTATTTTTTCCAATTACAACTCAACTATAATATTCCTGATACCACACTTTTGCTTTCGTCATAGTTCGAGCACTCAGCTTATGGCATGCAGGTTTTCTATTGCTCTCTCTATGGAATCCTGAAACAAGCTGTTAAGTCGTTGATGGGCCCTCAACATGTGTAGGTCCTTCAACTGTAGTTCTTGTATGCATGTGATATATGCATGTGTACTGTTGAGATTGTGTCGGGTTCATAAACCCGGGGCCCCTTGCGGATCCGCCTCCCAACAAAGGCTCGGCCCAAGCAGACAACGCGCAACTCATGGGCCGGCCCAAGTATCTGAACAACAGGCCAGAAGGGCGATCCAATCACCGACCGGAAGGTCTAGCCGAGGAGGAGCGGTGCCCGTTTTCCGACTCCAGCCCACCTTTCCGACCGGAGGGTTCACTTCGGTCTCCAGCCCGCCTCCGGACGGCCTCTCCGACCGGAAGGCCTGGCCAAAGCACTACTTCCGACTTCGACCCCACGTCTCCGACCGGGGTACGCAAAAATCCTGCTCACTGCTTTTCTCCGACTGGCGCAATCAGAGCCGACTGGGACTAACCGACCGGGGACGCCCGCTCGGTAAGGACCAGAAAACAGACGGAGAAACTAAGGCAGGGCGCACAAGTCAAACAGCAATACCGGGGACCATACTCTGCAACCTCCCTGGCACAACAGAGCCCAAACAGTGTTGTAGACACCGATATTTTCTCCTATAGTATTGTGGGCGCCATTAACTCCCATACGGTGAGGCCCCCCACATGCCTCTGGGCATCGACAGTGTTGTGGGCGCCGGCTTTTACCGTAGCGAACGAACAAGGTAAAACTCCTCACATGTCTCTGGACATCAACAGTATAGCAGGTGTCGACATCTGCCATACCCGAACAAGACGACGCGACCTTCCACATGCATCTAACATCCAACAGTGTTGTGGGCGCCTACCATTATTCTGTACCCGTCAACGTGGGCAACCAGGCTTAGAAGCATACGTACTCTCTCCCTCTCACCTGTAAGGCCATCCCCTTCACCTATAAAAGGGGATGCGCTCTCTCCCAACAGAGAGATTCATTTAAGTGATTCCAGATTCATTAGATCGATCAAGTTTACTAGTTTGCAACCACAGAACCGCCAGGTTCGAACCTCAAGCACACGTTTGAACACTTAGCTCATAGTGGGGCTCCCGTCACTCTCGGCCCTTGCGACCGGACCTCTCGTACACCTCATCTATCTCCTTCTCGTTTGTAACTCCACTCAAACTTCGAGCATCTGTGCTCAGGAATAAAGTCACCAACTGACTCGAACTGGACGTAGGGCACGTTGCCTGAATCAGTATAAACCCTGTGTCATTTAGTGCTAGGCCACCTCCGATCACAACGTACGACAAAACTACAAATATTTATTTGTTGGTCACTTTCTGCACCGACAGATTGGTTTTCACATTGACTAGTATGCTAAGCTGTGGTCAGTCCACTTAAGTAAGAACAGTCTTGTCTTGGCTTCCAACATATGTTTGTTTACTTTAAACCATGCTGTTCAACTTTTTTCCCCCTTTGTCCTGCATTCTGCTGAATCAATATACAATACGCCCTTAAACATATTATGTATCCATACCATGATCTATTTCTGTGATCTTATCAGTACACTTATCATTCTTGCTACATAGATCTGTGATTTCCATGTATACTCACATGCCTGCACATCCATGTAGTATTCACGCCAAATATTTATAACTGTTCATTCATCTTTATGTGGCAACCAAAGTTTTGAGTGAATTGGTCGATGCATCATGTATGGGACTCCGCTAACTTCTGCTGTTTATTTTTACGCTGGTGTGGTGGCTTCCTTTTTTTTTTTTACCAAATTACATTCCTTCAGAGTAGTAGAACATTTGAAGAGCGAAAACGACATTCGGCATGCGAGCGAGATGCACATGTACTTTGTCATGTTGGTAGAATCAATCAGATGCAAGCATCACATGGGTGAAATGTTCGTGCAGTTCTTTTACTGTTTGATGCACCATGCTTAGACAGAAATGGTAAAAGGGCGATCAGGCAAAGGTGCCCTGTTCTGGAACCTTTTCTGGGGTCAATGAGGGTTGAGAGGGACGTAGTTTTTCTGTAAGTCACGCTTTGATGTCCATACTGCACGGCGGTGCTCCATACCTGTTCTCTGAAAAGCAATATGTTATTTGCCGATTTTTTTTTAATCTATTGTAGTTGTTTTTTTAGAATCTTTAATCTATGGTAGTTGGTACGCGGCAGAAAACCCTGATATGATATTCAGATATGGGCTCTTTAATTTGAGCCCAATGAAGGATCTATGTGTATTATCAATTTATCATTTGTTGTTTTCACGGTTCTTTTATTCTATGACCGCAGCGTGAATATGCTTTGCATCAGCTTAACTTGGCCCCTCGTACTGAAATTTAAGGATGGGGCAGAACGGAAATTCAAGAAAGGAATTTTCAAACCATGTGCACAGGGTGACATGAGTTGAGAATCTTTTGGCGTTTTGGCATGGGGCGGTGGTGCTTCACAAGGGAACAGAAATCCAGAGTTCTTCCATGTCTGAAACAGCACCGGCTTAGAAAAGGTTTACATGGCACGATCAAAAGGTTTTGTTGTGTAACGAAAAGAACGTATGGGATGTCGTTTGAAGAAATCCATTTACGGATTAAAACAAGCATCAAGACAGTGGTATTTAAAGTTTGATAGTACAATAAAGAAGTTTGGGTTTTAAGAAAATGTAGAGGACAATTGCGTTTATGTAAAGTTCAAGAATGGGAAATATATTTTCCTAATCGTGTATGTGGATGACATCTTACTCGCTAGTAGTGATGTTAATCTACTACTAGAAACGAAGAAGTTCTTATCCTCAAATTTTGATATGAAGAATCTCGATGAAGCTTCGTTCGTTATAGGAATAGAGATTCACCGAGATAGAAGAAATATATTTTAGGATTATCATAAAAGGCATACTTAGAAAATGTTCTAAAGAAATACAGTATGCAAAATTATAAGCCTTCACCTGCTCCCATAGTCAAAGCCGATAGATTTGGAGAATTCCAATGTCCCAGGAATCAATATGAGATCGACCAAATAAAGCGATCCCATATGCTTCGGCTGTCGAAAGTTTACAGTATGCTCAAGTGTGTACACGCCTTAACTTAGCGTTTGTTACCGGGTTACTTGGCAAATATCAGAGTAATCCAGGAATAGAACACTGGAGACTGGTAAAGAAAGTTTTGCGTTACTTGCAAGGCACAAAAGGCATCATGCTAACGTACAGAAGATCTAATTTCCTACACATAGAGGGGTATACTGATTCAGATTATGCGGGAGATGATAGAAAGTCCACGTCAGAATATATATTTACTCTCGCAGGAGAAGCTATATCGTGAAAAAGTTCCAAGCAGACCGTCACTACATCATCTACGATGTATGTCGAGTTTGTAGCGTGTTATGAGGCCACAGGACAGGTAAATTGGCTGAAGAAATTTATGCCCGTGTTGAAAGTGGTAGACGACATACATAAGCCACTCAAGTTATACTGCGATAATAATCCAGCAGTATGTTATGCTCGCAACAATAAGTCAAGTGGTGCTACTAAACACATTGACATAAAAGTATTATGTTGTGAAAGACAAAGTTCGGGGTCATATAATTAGTCTTGGGCACATAAGTACAGAAAAGATGCTCACGTATCCGCTTACAAAAGGCTTAATAAGGGCCTAGTTGAGAATCTGTTTTCAAAACAGAGAGGGGCGTTGTAGCTGTTAATCTAATGGCACTGACCGTGACGATGAGGGATGCTCTATGCACTGATCTGTGATGGAATGGGAAAAAGATAAAGTAAGTTAAGTTTAAGTAATAAGATGAGATCAAGGAAGAGATTGTTAGTGTTGATCTTTCCAGCTTAGCCCAACGGTCGAGTTGGGCCTTGACTTCACGCCCTAATCGGGGGTACCCAACTCTACATGGTTGGTGAGTCCCCGTCGCACTGCGCTATAAAGAGAGGTGGGAGGAGGCGGCGGCTCTTGGTACGAGGTTCACCGTGAGCCGCCACACCCACCAACAAACCCAATCCGATCTAGTGAGAGGCGCAGCCAGCGACGGAAAGCTCCACTGCCGTCTTCACCGCCGCCTCTATGCCACCACTGCACTACGACTAACCTCAACACTGTCATCGTGACACCGCCGACCCAGACCGCATCACCTTCGCCATGGCTACGTCGAGCTCTTCCTCCAAGCCCGCGGATGGTCGGTGACATCTCACCTCCCTTCCTCTCTCTCTGGATCATGCTCTAGAAAGTTTTTATCAGTACGTAAGGTTGTACCTGCTAAATCTATGTCTGATGATCTACTATGTCTATCAGGTAGCACCCACGAGGACACAAGGGAATTGGAGTCGTCTCCATTCCACTCCACGTCTCCACAGCGCCATGGAATTGGAGCTGTTCTGTAGCCAGAGCTCTCGTTCAGAGGTGGAGGGCCCTTGCATGCCTAGCAACCATGGGGCCTTGTTCGTTTCGCTGAAATTTGGTTTATGCTCTTTTGTTGCGAGAGAAAAACACTGTTCGTTCATAGAAAATTACTGTTGAAGTATTGCTACAGAACAGGCAAAATCTCTATGGACAGAGACAGGGGTTATGCATACTACTGTTCCAAAGACCAGCTAAGATGATTAGTACATTATTCGTTTGCACAAAGGGAATCACTTCACTTGCTACAGGAGCTAAAGAAAAGTTGCATGCAAGAAAGCACGGGCTTGATCGTATTCTAAGCTGCAGCCTTGTTCTTCATTGATCTTCTCGACGATCTGATGAGCCGCAGCTGCAATCTCATCCACAGAGGTAAGCTGGCAATCATCCTCCACCTGTATTTACCATATGATGATATCCATCAGCAGAAAGTCATAGAATTGCAACCTTGATCTGCTCCATGATATAAACCATAATGATAAACAGACGGGGGAATTTGGAGCAGCTGTTGGAGACAATGCAAGATCCAAAAAAGGCACGGAAACCTAGGCATCAACTTTGCCTCCCGACTCCATCCAAGCGTGGTATTGCGAACCAGGTACGAGCACTATACTCCTTGGACTGAGAGCCATGTAGTATATCTACTATCGGGTAGCTGCCCGCCTGTAGTTGTTTACGAGGAAATGTAGCAAGAAGGTTGTGGATGGCGTACCTTGAGGCTAAACGAGTAGAGCACCATGTGGCCGGCGCTGCTCATGTTGAGGTGGAGCACGGTGAGGCGGTGGCCCTGGAGTCCCAGCACCAGGCGCAGCAGCTGCCTCGGCCGGCGCCGGGACAGCACCCGAAGGTTCGCGTGGCTCTCCACCATGGTCGCCTCCACGTCAGCCACGGCCGACGGCTTCGACCCGGACGACTCCTCCTCTAAGCCGGCGCCCTCACGGTGGTCGGTGTTCTCTGGGGCCGCGACGACAGCGCACATCGAGTACTGCGGAAAGGTGAAGAAGTCCGCGAACGGCCCTGCGTCGTCGGGATCGACGTCGTCGGCAGGGCGCCGCCGGGAACGCCTCTGCGCCTCCAGCGACTGGAGCAGCTGCTCCAGCTCCTTGACGAAGTTGATCGCGCCGCCGACGATGGACGCCTGATCGCCCTGCACACACGGGACACCGAAACGCGCGCTCAGTTTGGCGCATCGTCGTGCTAGATTGATTTATTGCTAGGACTAGGAAGGCGTGCATGGGATCGAAATCGAAGCTCGTCGGTTACCCGTTGCGTGTAGGCGGGCGGCATGAGGGAGCGGAGCGAGGCGAGGTACTCGTTCATCTGCTTGCGGCGGTTGCGCTCCACGGCAATGTGGATCATCCGCTGGCTCTCCACTTCCTCCTCGTTCTTCACCGGCCTCGTCCTTCGCCGCTTCCTTCTCCCGGACGCCGCTGTCGCAGTCACAGCCAGTGCCGGGGCATCCTGACCGGTGTCGACACTCGCACACCTCCCGGACGCCACAGGCAGCGCGCGGGCAGCCGGGTTGTCACCCAGCTCACGCAGGAGCTGCGGCGGTGAGCACGCGGCCACGTCCCAGCCGCCGCCAGCGCCACCCATCTCCACCACCCCCTCCATTCCACTAAACAACAGGCCACTCCAAGGCCCTCCTGCTGCCATGGCACCGCACCCAAAGCGACTGCCTTGCTGGGACTGCTGCTGGGAAAGCACCACGGCCTCCAGTGCCATCCCTTCAGGGTCTCGCCTATCAAGAAACCAGCAGCAGCAGCGTGTGCAGACTCACTCGAGCTAGAATCCGAGAAAAGTTAGGCCGTCTCTCCTCCCATGGGATCGTCGCCCGCCCGGCCGGTGAGCCGTTCGGAGCGGTGGTTGTGGCGGCTTCTTGTAGCAACAGGTTGTGGCACTACGGGGCTGGACTGGAGGGACACGTGAACACAGCTGCCTGCGCCGCTGCGCGTTCGGGAATCGGGAATGGCAACGAGAGAGTACGAAAGAGAGTGGGGTCGGGCTCGGTCGGGTGTATAAGATTGGCTGATGGTAGGGTTTGGAAGGGAGCGGGTTTTGGTGTGATTAGGCTATAATTCGGTCGCCTGGCAACGGCGCCAAAAATGTGGCGTCCGGCATGGGCAAAGGGGGAACAGATTGATGGAGACATGGGACTATTCAGCTTCAGCTGGGAAAAAAGTGAGTTGTTGAGCACGTAACTTTACCAAGTTACGTCACCGTACCGCTCTAGATATAAAATATTCTTCTTGAAAATATTTAGGTGTTCGAATGGAAAATCAACGGGTTGATGAAATAGTGTTTTCTCAAAGTAAACAAGTGAATGTGGTTTTAAAGGAAAGCATGTACGTCGCGATCTCAGTTCATATAAAAGGTTGGCGCATATTATGGTCAAGGAAAATAAGAGCAACAAGGAAAAGTTAGTTCCGGGTAGTCGGTAGTGGTTAGAAAAGCCTGAGTGGACGTCATGTTCCAAGCCCTGTCTCCAGCTCGACCACGCTACGCACGTCGGTCACTATTGCCGCGTGCCCTGCGGACGCCGTCAGCGTCAGGGTCCACTAGCACCCTGTCCTCATGTAACCACAGCATTATGCCGCATCCACCGTACTCGTGCACTGTTCGCTTCTCCTCTTCCCGGCATCTGGTCGGCTCTCGATCCTCGCCCTCGTCCCCGTACCGAACCCTTGCCCCTCCTGTTTTCCTCTTTTGAGGACACAACCGTCGCACGCCTCCATCGTCGAGCGAACCCCCTCTCCTCTCCTTTTTCCTCCCTACACTCAAGTTCGCGCAGGGATTCCAGGGACCTCCCCGTGGTAAAGGCAAAAGCATGCAAGGGTTTGGTTGTAAAGTTACTGACGGTAGGAATAGTACGCATAGTAGTCATATTAATCTCTGAAAGCTCGGGGGCCTTTCTACAAAAAACGGCCAACGCACGCGAGCGCCCCCGGCCTTGGGCCATACTGGGCCGCCGCGACTCGTGCGCAGCCACGCCGCACTGGCCTACCGGGCCTAAAAGGGTCGATGCCGGCCCTTTCCTTTTTCTAATGTATTTTCTAATTTAGTTTCTAAGGTAAATTTATAAATTCAATATAAAATTTTATAGTTAAACAAAAATTATGAAACTAATTTTGTTAAGTTCCTAAAATCATGATCTATCTGCTAGTATATTTTGTTCATATAGTTTTATAATATTTTTCGGAGTCATCTAATTAATTTAAGATGCTTAATATTGTAAGATATAAACTTGTGTGAATTTTTGTGACTAATTGGTGATAGTGTTGGCTCTGAAACTTTCACAGTAAATTTCTAACATTATTAAGTGCTCACTGTAATTTTTTAGGTCCATAAACATTAGTTTGCTAAGGTAGCTAAACAAGCCATAGATCGAAAATATATATTTAATCAATAAAATGCCGAAAACACCTTGAGATCTTAGAACTAAATATTTTTTCGGAGGGAAAGCCTTACTTAATGACGTAGATACGTAGACTAGTACGTTAGTCATTAAAGCTAGCTCGTTAACTTGCGGAGCTTAATCGTATTTTAGAGTTGCAGTTACCGTTGATTAATTGCGTCTTTGCGTTGCATTCACGTATATCATAATATGAACAACGATGGATCATGGAGACGATCGAAGTAGCGGAAAAGCTGGTGCCTAATGATCGTGTCACCACGATGGAATGCTAACTTTTGGTTATATCTTACCCAGGTAAGCCCTGGTGCATAACCCCTATTATTCTGCATTTTATTTTATACTTATGCATTAAGTTTTAAGGAGTTGAATGAAACCACTTACATATATATATCCTTATCCTATGAGTCCTATTATTATATTAGGATCGTGTAGATTGCTATGCTATAGGATTCGGTAGAAGTCGAGTTATTATCTGTCACTCGCGAGATAGAAATATATTATTGTTGTTATTATATTACTATCACCTGAAATATATATGGATGATAATTGGAGACCGGACGGAATGGTACTTTGGATTTGAACTTGGTTAGGCATTCGATGCGAGGCTCGAATTGCATTTGTTCCGCCTGTGTCGATTGAGGACCGTCCGATGCTATGGATGGTAGTCAGGTCACAGACTTATTATCCTGAGCACATACTTGCTTATGGGAGCGGGAATGCTCGCTACACTCTTGTCGTGGGTTCCGGCTCTTTCTAGACCGACTGATTGGAGCGGGGAAAGGTGGAGGTCTAAGCACCATACTGAGACCGGGTCTCAAGTGTGGGAGCTTGGAGTCCAAATTTGGACGGGGACCTGGACCCCTTGACATGAGTGGAGTGGGTTGGTCTTGTTTGTGTCTGGGGTACAAACGGAGCATGTGTTTCGGGGTACCAGCTGGGATACATTGGTTCGCAAATCGCTGTTTCTGTGAAGACGGTATAGACTTGGCTATGGTCTAGCACCGTAGTAAGATCTGGAATATGAAAGATGGTAAAATGGTTCTGATTACTTTTCACCTGCTTAAAAGTAGCATAGGTGCTTACATAGAATGGTTAGTTAATGATATGATGATGACTGCTAATAAAATTGAATATAAGGATGCACGTTTAGTAATGCTTCCTACAGATGCAATAAACCACAAGCCAAATAAGCCTTGCATACCCTTAGAATCTTTTATTTTCCTTCTGTCGGGTAAGTCTTGTTGAGTACAATCGAGTACTCAGGGTTTTGTTTCCCCTGTTGCAGGTGATCAGATGATACTTAGAGCTGACTCTTGTGTGTGGAAACCTCCTGGTGGGCTCAGAGAGAATTCATTTCCCGCTACGACCGTAGTATTTATTTATAACCCTCACTAAATGTTTTCATAAGAAAAGATGAAAAATATGCTAGCATTTCTTGTATAAAAATCTCCACAATGTTAATGCTCCATCATATCATTAAATTAATTTTTGCTTCCTCTATAATTCTGATAACATTGTTATATTCTACTGTTATAATCCATTAAGGTAATATTCTGTTACTGTAATATAGTGATGTAAGAAATGACTTAAGAATGTTGTAAACTTTATTCTCTAATTTAAGATCTTGATGAAAAAATATGGATTTTTGAGTTCTCCATTGGGGTGTGCTCGACGGAACTGACGTAGTTTAGTGTCCTCTCTTGAGTTCTTAGTGTCTAATGGAAGACAAGTACTCCTGGAAGACATTATATTAGGCGGTTCTGCCACACTTGTAATGGAACCTACCTACATGGGTTCCAGTCATTGATTTGATACAGGGGCTCGTTATATTCAGATTTAGGGCGCGATTGGCAGGTTTCAGATTCTCGTATAAATGTTTCTCTGATGAATTGAGTCATTTCGTGAGACCGTTTGGCTAGCTCTCTGGATTCTTGGCACTAGAACTAGAATCAGGATAAACTATGTTTTGAGTGTTTCTTCGGACCAGTACAAAACGATAATAGGATAAAAAGTGATTCTCTGTGAAATGTTTCCCTCTTTTTATGGTGTTTGGTACCGATTCTGGTGACTCTATTAAGAATTTGAAATGCTCCTAGTTGCCAAACACACTCTTAATCTAGAATTTAATGACATTATTTTTTAGTGGTTGTTGACATGTCCATCGACAGCAAGATGTCTATGATGACTTGGCTCAATCTCTAAGATGCTCATAGAGATAAAGAAAGTGTGTTTGTGTGCATTTTTGGTGTGAGTGTGCAAAATTGGAAAGCCATGGAACTAAGACGTTGTTTGGTTCATCGTATTTGCCCCGTTATTAATTCACATGGCTAATAGATCACGCTCCTTTGCGTTTGGTTGGACTAAATACGTAAACCTATAGCAACAGGATCAGATACAAGTTGTACAAGACTGATACCACTGAACTCTCAACTCCGAGCATTAAACGATTACGCTGCCGACTCTTAAGCGTTAAAAAAAGCGAACCAAACAAATATCGTTTTGTCTTACACTACAATATATTTTAGTGTTACAATTTTCAGTACTGATCCAAGCAACACCTAATTTTTTTTATAAAAATAGATCGAAACATCGGAAATCAGCTGTTGGACATGCTCCTAGCTAACGAGCGAGAGCTGTCCAAGAGCACCGGCGCCGTGACGGGCGGTGGACCGTACCCGGGACTGGTTTGGGATGCAGTGCGTGATCAGCTCCAGCTGATGGGACGAATGCTC